TTTTGGTGTATCACAACATTTAACTCAACTGTCCTGATGATTGTATAGTATAACCCAGAAAATAAAACAGAAAGTTTCTCAAATACATGTTTTTTAGAAGTAATGCATAGATATTCCACATTTCCTTCATTCGTGGTTTCAATGTGATACCCATTTTGACATAAGTCTTTAAAGCTCAACAAATTTTTTCGTGATCTAGTAGAATAAAAGCCTTATCAATGTGTATTATTGTCCCACGTAGTAAAACAATATCGTCTTTTCCTGAGCGTTCAATTAAACTTGTGGGACCTAAAATTGGATTAACACTAGCCTCAGTCAATGTTAAGTGGGAAAAATATTTTTTATCTCGAAGAATTGTATGTGTTGTTTCACTGTCTGCAAGACATATATCATTGCCATTAACCAATGCATTTGATAGATTCATGCCTATATATATCATGCAAAGTTCATATTTAGACTTTATGATAATAGTTTATTTAATACAAGGATAGTAAAAAAAACTTTTAATTCAAATGTAACAAAGAAATTTCAGTACAAGCACAGCAATAATAAAAACAAACAAACAACAACAATAAAATACAGAATAATGATGACATGATAAAAGAAAGTAAATTTTAATTAGTGTGGACATTTCCATCACCAATCAAGTGGTCAATTTTTCCATCGCTATCCTCAAAGAAATCTGACTTATCCAGATTTGTGATATCCACTGGCTCATTGAAATCAGTGAAATTCATTTCTATATTTTTTTCCTTTTTCCTTCAATGAGGTTTGGTACAGATCAGCCAAGTGTTTAAGCGTATGACATATACTTTGCCAATGCCTTGTCATTCTGCACCGATAACAAATATTTGCATCTGTTTTTGAAGTTTAGCCATACTTTTCCCCCTTTCATTATAATCATTTTTATGGGGATATGGTGTGAATCTCTGATTGTTATAATTTGAGGATTGATAACCCTCATGGTAATAAGAATAATTTCTTCCACGACCGCATTCATTCTCATTTCGACAACCACGGCCATATTCACTACCATGCCCACGCCCACACCCATGTATACTTCCACGTCCTCGTCCACTAAGTGAGGCAACGTATGTTTTAGGGATCGGTGTTGATCCAGTTAGACGGGACTGGTGGTTCCTTAACAAAAGCTCGTTATTTTGCTCAGCCACAAGTAAACATGATATTAACTTTGAATATTTTTAAAATTTACACTCTCGATATTGTTGTTGTAAAAGCACATTCGAAGCGTGAAATGTAGTGTATGTTTTTTCCAACATGAGCTCATTAGTGACAGTATCACCACATAATTTTAGTGTAGAGCTGATTTTAAATAGAGTAAAGTTGTATTCAGCCACAGTTTTAAAATCTTGCAATCGCAGCTCCTACCAATCGGCTCGAGCTTTTGGGAGTATTAACAGTTTTTTGATGATCATATCTGTCTTTCAAAAAAATTCACAAATTCAGTGGATCTCTTTCAGTGATGTATTCAGTTTTTAGTTCCTCACTAATATGGCGACAAAGAAAAATCATGGCTTTTGCCTTATCTTGTGACGATGCATAATTTTTTTCTTGAATTATGATTTCAAAACCCATAGCATCTAAATGGATTTGAGCATCTAGAATCCAAGATAAATAATTTTTGCCAGAAATATCTAGAGCCATGAATTCCAGCTTTATCAAGTTTAACATTTTCAGAATAACTAGATGTAATAACAATATAAGAACACAATTTTAGCATAGTATAAAAATAAGCGTATATCTTAATAATAAAATGGCATTAAGTAAAACAATATGAACTATTATAATTTAAGCACTAAAGATGGTAAAATCGACCTTTAAATCATTAATTGATAAAAGTAGTTAAATCGATCATTAAATAATAAAGGCGGAAATAAATAAAATTTTCTTATCTTTTAGAGTGAACAATATAATATTCTTTAGTAAAGTAAGTAAACCCAACAATCTATCAAAACTAATATCACAAAATAGATATATAGAGTTGCGATAGAAAAAGGAAAAGAGAGCTTCTTTTTCAAGTTTTAGATGGTTAAAGCTCGGACGGATACCGTGTTATAAATATAAGAATAAATATACTCATACACAATCAAAGAAATAAAGAGAGACATTTTAGAGAGAAATAAACTTCTTTCTTATTCTCGTTTAAAGTGTAAAGTCAGTGATACAATATGATCCATATTTATAGGACCAGAAAGGGCATCTTTTGCCAACTTGCACAAGTGGAAAAGATTGATACCATACTCCTACTGATAAAAGTTTCTTTGTTTTGCATGCCAGCTTACAAATTGCATTACCACTTGCATACAGATTTAGTAATATATTTGTCACTTTGCTGTAATCATTACTTATACAAGTTGTAGCTCACAATTCACATACACATTTGCATACTTGTGGGCCCCATTAATATATAACATAAAAAAAAAATTATACTTAATTCAATTTTTTGAAAACTCAATTATAAAAAGGCCGGTTTTTAGGAACTGTCTTTTATTATTATTTTGTGAAAACTGTTTTCTGTTTTTTAAAACTGTTTTTAAATTTACAAACCAAACATACTCCCAATTATGCACTGTCCAACAGTTACACCTGTAAACATCTATAACAATCACAATTTTTTGTTTCAAATCAATGAATTTGAAATCTGTTGTTTGGATCAAATGTATGGAAATAATTTGATATAATATTTGAAATCTATACCTTGTCATCCATTAATTTTGTAACACTGTGTGTGGGTTCTAAAATTTTAGCCAACAGACGGTAATTAATATGGATACACCACTCACGAGGGAATAGGAGCCAAAGAGATGAAGTGGGAGAGAACCAGAACTTGCACCTCTACCGACGCCTAAGCCGCCTGCTTTTCCACCAGTCGACTGAGCTGCGTAGAACACAAATTCATCACTGAGTGACAATTTCACTAAGGTTTCTTATTCCACAACAATTTGTTTCCAGAACTAGAACCAGAACTATTTCGGTTATTAATTTGTTCTTTGAATATATGAATCCTTTCAATTTTTTTTTTTTCTGGAAATATTGATTCGCCTTCAGGAAAACTTTGAATTTACGAATGCAATCTTACTTGCTGTAATCAGAGCAATGCTGCATGGGAAAAGTCGGTATGAGAGGTATGTGCTGTAGGTGTTTGACTTAATGTGTCATAGACTCAAGATAGCCTTTTCATACCATGTCATGTTAGAAGCTTAAGCTATGAGAATCTTACACTCCTCAGCACAATAAAGAACAAAAACAAAAGAAATTACATAGTCCATTCGATATTGCCGGTGTTGTTTTTCTGATTAGATAATTTATAGCAAGGTTACTATTTCATTCTTACAAGTTATGGAATAGATTTCTTTATGCTAGTTATCATAGTGAAAGTGCTGATAAGTATTACTGTAACTAATTGCGACAATGTTTGCATTAGTCAATTGTCTCTGCTTTTAAACATACTCCCTATATGTTTGCATTAGTCTTTCTTTTTATGTCATTTAGATGTAGAAAAATGATAAAAGTTCCGAATCGGTATTATCCATCACTAACTAAGAGTCTTTGTTAGACATTTGGGATTAGAATAGCTAAAAAATCCATCGTAAAGTTTAGCAGATATAGCAGAAATAATATACATTTCAGCTAAGGTTACGAAAAATTGGCATTAACTATGTATATTTGGGGAAATCTCTATATGTATATTATATTATACATAAACTTTCTCTAGGAGTTTGACCCATGCCTCATAGGTTGAAGACTGCCTTGTCATGTGTGGACACAAAGTCATGTAAGAAAAGTAGGGTATATTGAATCAGGGGACTGTGTGCTTTGACTTTTCAAAAGTAGGGTACATAGCAGGCCTACAAATTAATGGACAGATAGACGATGTTGCACAGACTGTTGCAATCAACCTTCTGGCCTTTTTCGCCTGCTTCCGTATTCCCACTGATTGGTTAAGTTGTGAAATTATTGGCATTAACTGTGAAAGGGAAGTTAATTTATGTATGTGTAACGTGTATTTGACCCAAAGTCGTATGAAACATTTCTATCGGAGGTCTCTTCTCCTTCTCCTTCTCCTCCTTCTCCTTCTTTATCATCATATTTTTGCTAATTGAGATTACTTATAAATAAAAAAAAATTGTTAATTGAGATCGAGGTATCCAAGATGGGACAACTAATGGGTAGGTTTGTAAGTTGGGCTGGCCTAACCCAACCCAGCCCACTCCCAACCCAACCTCAATCCGAATCGGGTTAAGTTGGGTTAGCCCGAATTATGCCCAACATGAGTATAGTTATAACCCAGCCCGGGCAAATCATTTTAGCCTCCCCAATCGCCTCCATCTCTATTCTCTCTGAACTTGCTCTCTCTCTCTCTCTCTCTCTCTCTCTCTCTCTCTGTAGCAAACTACAAAATCTACAAGAAGCAGATGTTCAAAACCCATATATTTCAGTTTTATCTATGTGTCTGTAAGAATCAAAAGTTCAAAACCCATATCGGCATATCATTTTTGATTGTTCAAAAAATCAAAACCCAAATCTTTCAGTTTCCATCACCCGTTGTTCAAGTTTGGGTTCGCCGTTCACAAGTTTCAGCCACTGTCTCTCAACTCTTAAACTTGCCCCCCTCTCTCTTTACAACTACTAACTTGTATGTATGGGGGCGGCGGTAGAGAGAGAAAGAAGAGAGAGGAGAAAAAAAAAATGAAATTTTTTTTAATTTTTTAATTTTTATTTTGGGTTTTGGGTTAGGTTCAAGTTAAGCCCGAGCCCAACCTGAATATGTCTGGGTTTTGACAAAACCCAACCTGAACATAAGCCCAAATTTTAAAATTTCGGGTTGGGCTTGGGTTGGGTTAGGTTGGCCCACCTAAGTTGCAACCCTAACGGGGGACAGTGGCACCATAACAAGACCATGGTTCTTCCTATGTGTTATGCTTCTGTTCAGCTGTTACACAAGTCCTGTTTCTTTATTGGAGGAGCTACTTTTTCAACGGGCCAGTCTCTCTCTTTCTCATAATGGCAGACCCTGGTTGTAATGTTTATATTTTTATATATTTCTATATATGTCTATTAAGATAATGGGTAGGATTGTGAGTGGTGGAACCCACCCCCAATTGTTTTCAATTTCGTGGCCAAAGGGGGCATACAACCTCTCATTCTCTCTCTATCTCCCGACATGCTCTCCTCCTCCCTTCAGTGTTTTTTTTTTTTTTTTTTTTTTCTACTACAAAAACTTCAATTTCTTCTTATTTTTTGGTATTTTTGAATGCCGTTTACGACAAACTGAAGCTCACGGCGAGGTCTACAAGTTGATAGGAGCAATTCCATGGTTGGTGCACTATAGGAAATTCGAAATCTAGGGCATAAATTTGGAAATTTTCATAATTTTGGAGGTAGGGATTCCTAATTCACTTTTTCTTGCTCCTTTATGAATCATCTTACTTGATTTGTTGTTGAGCATGTTAAATTATGTTAGTTTTCCCTTGAAATGATTATATTGTTGTAATGAGATATGTGTTTTAATTGGTGTTATATGAAATATATGCTTATATGAATTTAATTCCTTGTCTTACTTGCTTACCATGCTAGAATTTTGTTTAAGGAAGTATGTTATTTCTTTGGAACTTCTTGGGAAGCATGCTAAGTAGTTAAATCTTAAAATTGGTTTGTGATAATAAATGTTGCTATGACATAAAAGGCATGAAGCATCTATGCACTTCATTGGAAAATAGATGGGAACATGAATTTGAAAAAAAATTAATTAAATAAATAAATAATATATATATATATATATATATATATATATATATATATTTGAGAAAGAATTTTGAAAAGGATTTTGTGAAAAATCCGGCCACCTAGGAGTTGCCTAGGGACCGTGGCGTTAGTGAGACCTAGAGGGAACTGGGGATATCGCTCTAGTGTGGTTGAGTTACCTGGGCCCCAAATGACGCCATGGAGTTGCCATGGGTCAGGAACAGTGGCCAATCCTCCTCTCGTGCCGCCATGGAGTTGCTATAGGACGGGTTCACTAACGGTTTGAAAATGATAATGGAAATGGTTTTAGAAAATGGGGAGTGACATTACATGGTATGACATCTCATTGCATGGCATATTTATTTGTGGTATTGGATTAATGATGTGTTATCGTAATTATATTTTTACTCCCGGTATGATATGGTCCCAATTTCCTTATTCCTATTCATTGTGTGGATTCACGGGGTCTCAAGAGATGTGCCTTAGGCACCTCCTACTGAACTTATGCTCACCCCTTCATTTTAACATTTTCCAGGAAATGGGAATGAAGTGGCGGATGACGTTTCACCACAAGCCTAATTTGGATTAGAAGACCATTTTGCTATCTAAATCCTATATGTTTTTGTAAAACCTTAGTTTGTTATATTCGGTATAGAGATTGTGGACTCTTGTTATTGTTATTATATTTATGGGTTGTAACTTTAGTATAAGTTGTCTAAACGCTGTAAAACATGAATTTTAAATCTTAACTATATATTTTTGGGACTGCAATTACGATAATTTGATTAAATGGTATGTGAATGTTCCACCATGAGATGAACTATGTTGATATATAATGAATGAATAAAAGAGATGCTGGAATGTATTATATGTTTTTTTTGTATCATGTGTTGGGATAGCTTGGATAAGTCTTGAACGGTCAGGAAGGGCTATTGCATTTTTTTTTTTTTTTTTGAGCAGATGGTTGTAGGCTCCTTTTTAATAGAGGTCATACTGAATTTTTAATTTTTTTTTTTAATTGATATTTAGTTTTGGGTCGTTACACTGGTGTCTCAAGGTAGCATTTTTGAACTTGGTTTCTTTACACCAGGTACTTCAAATAACATCTATCTTGGCATATGGTATAAAAATATTGCTAGTCAGACCATAGTTTGGGTAGCTAACAGAGAACAAAAATTGTCTGAATTGAATTCTTTAAGACTTGAAATTTCTGAAGATAATGGAAATTTTGTGTCACCAACGCCAAAAAACATTGTAGCAGTGCTTCAAGATAACGGAAATTTTGTAGTTAGAGATGTTACAAATCCATCTACAATATATTGGCAGAGTTTTGGTCACCTAACAGATACATGGCTGCCCGGTGCAAAGCTTGGCATCAATAAACCGACTGGCAGAACTCAGGTCCTAACGTCGTGGAAAAATTTTGAAGATCCTACTCCTGGTAGGTTTTCATTGGGGATTGATCCAGTTGAAAGAAATCAATATTTTATAGAGTGGAACAACTTGAAGAGGTATTGGAGCAGTGGAGTTTGGAATGGAGATATTTTCAATTACAGTTTTATATCAAATGAAAACGAAAGTTATCTTACGTACATTTCTTCTAATAGTTCTATAGCAAGATTTGTCTTGGGTGAGGATGGGCGATTCCGGCAGCTAACATGGTTGGCTGGCAGCTCAGATTGGAATTTAAGATGGGCTGAACCTGGGCTACTATCTCAGGTTTATGCTTTTTGCGGGTCATTTGGCATCTTCCGGGGGAATCTCTCGATCCCCTTCTGTGAATGTTTGCCAAATTTTGAGCCAGTTTCAATTGAAGACACAAAGCTAAATGATTGGTCAGGTGGTGGTGTGAGAAACGCTTCATTGCAGTGCCAAAACAGCACTGATAAGATTTTAAAAAATTCCGAACATAACAACAATACCAGAAAATTCAAAAGTACTTCCTGATAGGAGCCTTGAATGGTGTAGCTCAGCTTGCATGCAAAATTGTTCTTGCACAGCTTATGCTTATGTTAGTAATGGCTGTTTATTATGGGAAGGGGAATTACTCAATCTACAACAACTCTCATATGAAAGCAACACTAAACAAGATCTGTATCTGAAACAAGCTGCTCCTGATCAGCTTCCAAAAGCTGGAGGTATGTGGCTGCAAATTACATAATGTTATATTCTTAATTAATTGTGATTAACCATAATTCTAATATACCATTTCAGGTGACAGGAAGAACATGAGGGTGATCATAACAGTGCCGGTTTCTTTAGCCGCAGTGGCGGAGGGAACTTTGCTCTGTTTTTTTTTAGATACTAAATTAGATACTAATTCTATATTTTCCTTTAAAAATAGTGACTTTGCTCTGTTTTCTATTTCCTTTTTTTATTTTTTTTTGTCTTGTTTGTCTTTTGATGTGAAAATTCTATTTTTGTCGTTGATTTTTTTTTCTCCTATCAAATACACTATGCCCCCCTGGAATGAAATCCTGGCTCCGCCCCTGACTAGCCGTACTTATTATTTCTGTTGCCTTCATATACTGTTTAATCAGGAGAAAGCTCAGACAAATGGGTATAAGCTGTAGCCACAAAACTTTCAGCCCATGTTCAAAGAAATCATTCATTTTGTATTTAAATCAGTTAGGAAATGAAACAAAACCTCTTTCACGGGCAACATTTTGTATTTAAATCAATCATTTTTCTGGAACTTATTATCTTTCTTGAAAGTGTGATTTCCAAATAATTGACAATGGCTTCTTGTTCTGTGATAAACAGGGGATGAAGATTCGAGTGAGGACTTGTTATTATTTGATTTTAGTGCTAGTGCTGATGCAGCTGCTGAGACAAACACTGGAAATAATCTAGGGAGAAGTGGGAAGGATGTTGAGTTGCCATTGTCTAGCTTTGCGAGTGTCTCTGCTGCAACCGGTTACTTCTCCGCGGCAAACAAGCTCGGAGAGGGAGGGTTTGGACCTGTTTACAAGGTAAGGTTAAAGATATAAACTGAAGTGCTTTACCTTAGAACCAATGAGAATTTTCGAACTCCAAATTTAATGTTGAAAACTATTCATTAACAACTTGAATTTCGACTTTAATCCTCTTAAGTGAAATGAATTGGCCTCTCTAGAATCTTGCTGACAAGATGGCTTCCTCATCAGCAGATACACATATTTCTTCATTGTTTTTTCCCCCTTAAACAGGGTAATTTACTCAAGGGGCAAGAACTAGCAGTCAAAAGACTTTCTGGAAGATCTGGACAAGGGCTCCAGGAGTTCAAAAATGAGACAGTACTGATAGCCAAACTCCAGCATCGAAATCTTGTTAAACTCTTGGGTTGCTGCATTGAACGGGATGAAAACATTTTAATCTACGAATATATGCCCAATAAAAGTTTGGATTTCTTCTTGTTTGGTTAGTGTTTTTCAATATTTAATTTGTATTTGAACTTGGATATATCATATGTGTTGAATATATGTTTATTAATGTGTAACTCAAGGCAGATCCAAACAAACAAGGGCTGTTGGATTGGAGGACACGTACCCGCATCATTGAAGGAATTGTTCAGGGACTTCTTTACCTACATGAATATTCAAGGCTTCGTATAATTCATAGGGATCTAAAGGCTAATAACATTCTTCTGGATTGCGAAATGAACCCGAAAATATCAGATTTTGGCATGGCAAGAATTTTTGGTGGTAATAAATCACAAGCAAACACAAACCGTATTGTTGGAACTTAGTAAGTAAAAGAAAATTTCTTTACTAACACATACACAACTTATATATGATACATTAAAGAAATATCTAATGCGATTTACTGAAATTGGTTTTGTTGGATATTAAAAATCAGTGGATATATGTCCCCTGAATATGCAATGGAATGTATTTTCTCCATCAAATCTAACGTATTTAGCTTTGGAGTATTACTGCTTGAGATCGTGAGTGGCAAAAAGAACACTGGTTTTTATCACAGTGACTCTCTTTACCTCCTTGGATATGTAAGCAGCTAACATACCTTTTCTTTTTCTTTAAACTTCTTTTATTTAGCAAAATTGATGATTTAAGATTAAACTGTACATGGTGATTATAAATTATATAATTGAATGTTTCAGGCATGGGAGTTGTGGAGTGCTGATAGAGTGGTGGAGTTGATGGACCCAAAATTGGGTAATCCTCCTCCTGCTACTACATTGTTGAGATATATTAACATAGGGCTTCTCTGTGTCCAAGGAAATGCAAATGATAGACCTACCATGTCTGACGTTGTCTCAATGCTTACCAATGAATATGCACCTCTACCAATACCTAAGGAACCTGCATTTTTTACTGGCCGGGGTGTGATGAACACAAATCCGTCACTTGGTAATGCTAGAAACTGTTCAGTGAATACTGCAACAGTTTCAGTGATTGACGGCAGATAACAATTTCATATTCCAAGACATTTTGTTTCAAATAGAAATCTTAATCTGTTTGATTGTTCTCTTAGATTTGATATACTTTATCTCTATGCTTCTTTTTTTTTAATATTTTTTTTGGGTATTATATTGATTCTTTCAACTAGCTATAGTAGCTTTTAGAAGCTATCTCTAGGATTTGCTTGCTTTGAAAGACCTGAAACTGGAAAGTTTACTACTGATATGTTGGTCATAGCCTCAGGCGCATCTGAATGTCTAATTGATGCCTCCTAAACACTACACCCAACCCCCTCCAATTTTTCTTCCTATATTATCGAACTGTCTCACGATGTTTTGAACCCAGCTCAAGTACCGCTTTAAAGGACAAACAGTCCAACTCCAGGAATCCCTTCATAAACTTGTAAACTCTCCTAAGCCACAGGTGTTGGGTATGATTCAACTCAACTAGTCTGTTCCATCTTGGCAATGGATTAATTCCATGAAAATCAAGTACTCGAGAAATCCCCAATATCAACTGGGTCTCTAGAGGCAGGCCCAGTCTATGAAAATGGCAGCATAACAAAATGAGATCATCAGATAAACGAGAGAAAAACTTAATTGCTCATGTTATAGTGCTGACATAGTGTCACACATTAATTATACATTAATATACATTAACACACAATGATAGAACCCACTAAAATAAATATTGTCTTACTTATATATCAATATATGATTAGTGTATGACACCGGAGCAAGTAAATTTTTTTCACATAAAAACGTCCACCATTAGTTTCTGGAGAAACTCTCTTTCTCCCATTCCATTCACTCTCAAGGATTGATTCTTCACAAAAGAAGCCCAAAGTGATTCCGCCATCCTATAAGGTCTGAAATGCACTTGGGACGACCCACTAAAACATCACTCATTTGAGTTATGACCCAAGTCCATATAATATTTTAATGGCTTCCGAACAAAGCCCGTAAAATATTTCAACTTGGGCCCTTTAATCCGGTTGAAACAAGCCGAAACTTGAATAGAAAAATAAAGCCCATTAAAATATATTAATATACCACATTTGTTAATAAATATGTACAGAAATCAAAAGTTTTATTGCTTGCTAATAAAAATATTTCACAATATCTATATATATAGATATATATTTATAAAAATACTTTACAGATAACTTTTAAATTTTAAGTACATACTACATAGAGCTAGTTCGGTCCACAAGCATAAACTTGTCTTGTCCAACATCGGGTACGAATGGAAGAGTCTTGGACTACTCAATACTTTAAAATTTTGAATTGGATGGCAAGGCTCTACCTTACTTGTGATATCAGGGTCACTAAATTATTCGATTCTACGTTGTTGTCGGGTCTTTAACGAGGATGTTATATGTTTGGATGATGAATGGGAAGGGCATCCACCTTGAGGTAGGGTTGTAGATGAGCCGAGCCATTCGCGAGCAGCTTGGGCTCGTGTGACGTTTCCGATTTTTACCATTTTTAATTTTTCTGGAATTTTGTCGTCGTAAGGGCATTCTTGTCTTTTCTCTTAGTTGGGTCCATTTGCATTTTGTGCATTCTAATTCATGTGAGTAATATAATATTTATGTGATAGTGTATTTAAATGTGTTTGTGGTACAAATAAAAGCAAAAGAAAAAGGTATAAGAAAATAAAATGTATAGGACCCACCACCACCAACTTAAAGGTCTTGAGACCACATTTTGGTCTCTATCTTTCCTCTCCCGCTGGTTCTCCATCTTCCCTCTCTTACTTGCGTTTTTCTTTTTCTTTGGGAAGCTAACTTTAATCTTTGATAACTCTCTCAATCCTTGGAAACTTTGAGTGCCGTTTGAGGCGAAACGGAGAGCACGACGAGCTCTACACATTGATACCAACAATTTCAGATTTGGTGCTTCCTTTGGCCTTCTAATTTCTTGACCATTTTAAAGGTTTTGCTCCAATTTGAGGTAGGGGCTCTTAATCCACAATTTTCTTGCTCCTATGTGAATTACATCTTCTAAATTGTTGCAAGACATGCTTATTTGTGCTAGTTGTAGTTTAAAAATAGTAAAAACATGTATATGTGGTTATGTGAGAGCTTGTATTAAATGTTTTATGTGGAAAACGTGCCTACGTGATGATTTGTATATGTTTGTTATGCTAGATGTATTGTTGTATGAGAGCATGTTGAAATTTTTTGGGAAATTCTTGCAAAATTATACATTGCTTACTTAAATTGAGTTGGTTGTGGAATGATGAGTATTAGCATGACATAAATGCATCTATGCATTTACATTGGGCAAGAAAAGGGAAAAAATTGACTTTGAAATGAAAAAGGGGAGTTTTGGGAAAGAATATATTGATGAAAGTGTTTTGATAAAACCCAGTCGCTGCGGAGTCACCAACGGGCCGGTAGGTTAATGTAACCTAGAGGGAATTAGGGAGATTGCCCTAGCGTGGTTGAACTATCTGGGTCCCATAATGACGCTGCGGAGTCACTAAAGGTCAGGGATAGTAGCCAATCCTTCTCTCGGCACTGCGGAGTCACCAAAGGGGGTTACATTAACGGTTTGAAAGTGATGGTTTCGAAAATGGAGAGCGACATTGGCATGCATCGCATCCCATAGCATTCTATTATTTATAATGAGACTTGTTGTTATGTTGTGTTATTCCAACAATGTATGATCCCCATTCCTATTGTCCTATTCTTTGGTTGGATTCACAGGGACACAAGAGATGTGTCTTAAGTATTACCTACTGAGCAATTTGGTCACCCCACATAATTAATATTTTTCAGGTCATGGCAAGGAATTGGCAGATGATAATCCACCACAGAGCTAAGGGAACTTAAGGCATTTTTGAATGTATTTTGTGGGATTTAAACTATTCTTGTAAAGTGCATGACACAAAATGTATTATTTTTGCAATATGTAAAACATTTGGATTTATCATGTATATGGCCATTTGGGTAATGTAATTAAATTCGTATCATGTTAATTCCCGTATATCATATAACATGTTGTAAATTACGTTATTAACGTGGTGGTTATTATTACAATTAAATGTTGAAATGTATCTTAGTTTATGTACGTGAGTGTAGTGGCACAGTGTTTGGACAATGGGTGAGGATAACCCAAACCAGTCGACGTGTAGCTTCCTATACGTCAACCAGTATCCTGACAGTAAGCATTTTGAACGTGAATGACCCAAACCAGTCGACATATGGCACCCATACGTCGACCGGTATCTTACAGTGTGGTAATCTTATACACCTTCCAAAGCAGTCGACGTATGGCATTCCATTCGTCGACCGGTATTATGTCCCAAACCAGTGGACGTATGGTTTCCCATACGTCGACCGGTATCTTGGCAGTGGGTTTTCCCACTGTTCATATCCAAACCAGCCAACGTATGGTGTGGATACGGTTTCTATCACTTATGTAATATGTGTTTAGTTTCCCAAAATTACACCTTAGCATCCATTTTAAGTTGCACGTAATTATTTTATGACCAAATAAAATGCCATAATTATATTTTAACCCCCGAAAGGACTATATTACCCCGAACCTTATTTTATTTGCTATGTGATACAAGTTAATGACCGTTGTACCCTTGAGTCTCAATTTATTGAATTATAACAAATTACCAGTTTATCCTTTTGGACCTTACTATTTAAATTTAATGTGAAAAGACCGTTTTACCCTCGGATGATTTTGGGTCGGGTAAGAACCCGTTTAATGATCCGGATCCATAAGGATTTGGGTCGTTACAAAATGGTATCAGAGCGATGGTTCGAAAACCTTAGGACGATGGGTAGAGGCCTATGTAGGATTACGTGGGCGGAGGTTTACATTACGTATGAGATTATTTGTTATGTGTTTAGATATTTGAAGAAGCATGCTAAATCTTTTACTTGCCTATGTGCTACATGTTAAAGTGTTTAAATGTTTGAGCAACATGCCTACTTGTTTACTTGCTTGCTTGTTTATTTGCCTACGTGTAAATTTGTTTACGTGATCACATGCTTATATGTTATATGTGTTAAGCACTAATTTAAATGACCTATGAATAGGTATTATGTTTTCGGTGTATAATTGTTTAACATGAGCACTTCTATATTGTATTAGCTCTACGAGTTATTCCTTACGACTGGAAAGGTGTTAGCATTGTGAGCATGGGAGACGTGAATAGCATAATCTAGTGAGTCCAGTTTGATCTGAGCACGTTGCTTCATTATGAGTCCTTTCCTTAGAGACTAGTAACAGTGGAAGGGTTTAATCTTAGGTGTTTTCCGGAATGGAAGTTCTCATTTTCTTACACAGGCAAGAGTTTGTGTTGTGTTTCCTTGGCATGGTGAGTGGACTCTTGGGATGATGGATTAGTAGAGTAGGGCGTGTGAGTCATGGGATCTTTCAATGTAAGCAAAGTTGCTTGGATGTCATAGTACGTGAGGTGGGTTGCAAAGTGTGACTTGTGAGATTCAAGTGTTGTACGGGTCAGTATTTGGATTCTTATTTAGAAGTTCACTAATGTTTAAAGATTACGAACTTGTCTCTTAGATTGCCGTTTTGGGAGTAAAAGTTGAGGTTGATCTTGAGATGGCGACGAGATGGGTAGGTTGCACCTTTTATTTTGATTTCCAGTAAAGAAGACAAAAGTTCAGTGTGATGTTGTTTGGTGACCATAGAGTGTTGGTCACAGATTGTGTTGAGCCAGGATGAGGAGTGACCTCTTGGGCTTGGTGGCTTGTTCTATCTGATTTCTTTGTTTTGTGGCTCTGTGGGCGGGTGTCCGTGAGCGTGTGCAGGTGGCACCAGAAAGCTACCACACTGAGCGAGCTGCGGGCACATAACTCAGATGAAATCAATGTGAACATTCCATTGTGTTGGATGGTAGCCTTAGCAATTGATTGGGAAATGACAGTGTTAGGGATATAGAAGTTGTGTACCCTGTTGTTTAGCCAGAAAGGTCAGTTGTAGGTATGACCCAAGTGTGTAGTTAGATACCAATGAGAGACTAATGTTTTGTAGTTGTCTTAGAGTGTAGTTTGTGTGGTTGACCGTTTGGCGTAGTGTTTGTTTTCC